TAGTAGAGACGGGGTTTCACCATGTTGACCAGGATGGTCTCGATCTCTTGACCTCGTGATCCACCTGCCTCGGCCTCCCAAAGTGCTGGGATTACAGGCTTGAGCCACCGCGCCCGGCTAGAATTAAATTAAAAAAAATTTTTTTAAGATGTCTCACTCTGTCCCCCAGGCTGGAGTGCAGAGGTTTGATCTCAGTTCACTGCAACCTCCACCTCCCGAGATCAAGGAATTATTTTGACTCAGCCTTCTAAGTAGCTGGGATTACAGGTGTGCACCACCAAGTCCGGCTAATTTTTGTTGTTGTTGTTTTGTTTTGTTTTGTTTTAGTAGAGACGGGGTATCACCATGTTGGCCCAGCTGGTCTCAAACTCCTGACTTCAAGTGACCCATCCGCCTCAGCCTCTCAAAGTGCTGGGATTACAGGCATGAGCCACTGTGCCAGACCTAAAGTATTTAAAAATATTTAAATATGAATATTTAGTTTATTCATATTAATTATATTTGCACTGTTATGCAACATATGCTAAAATGTTTTTATCTTGCAAAGCTGAATCTTAATACACATTAAACAACTACCAGTTATTTCCATTTCATCTCACTTTACAAACACCACTCTGTTCTGTTTGGAAGAGTGTAACTGTTACACATATCATACAATCTCTGTCTTTTTGTGACTGGCTCATTTCATTTTGCATAATGTTGTCAAGATTTATCTTTATAGTTGTTACAACATTTTCTGCTTTTTGCAAACTTAGTGATATTCCAGTGTTTTTGTATTTCAAATTATATTTACTAAATGATTTGGTCACAGAAATTTGCATTGCCTTTACCTATGGCTTTCAGTAACAGTGCTCCAATAATTATGGGTATGCAAATGACTCTTTATATGACCACATATGTGAAAGTTCATGTGCTGCATTCTATTAGTCTACTTTCTTATCTTTATGTTTGTACAAAATTGTTTTTCTATGTAGCTTTGTCATGTATTTTGAAATAAAGAACTGTAATGCCTCCAATATTTTTCCTTTTTTTAAAGATTGCTGAGTATATTCTCTTAAGATTCCATATACTTTTAGGGTTGCTGTTTCTGTTTCTTTAGAAATGAAATAAGAAGGCCGGGCGCGGTGGCTCAAGCCTGTAATCCCAGCACTTTGGGAGGCCGAGGCGGGTGGATCACAAGGTCAGGAGATCAAGACCATCCTGGTCAACATGGTGAAACCCCGTCTC